TACCCTGAGCTACATATATTCTCTTCTATATGTATTAAAACTTTCATAAATTTCTTCTATTTCCACAGATCTTGAGCCATATAAATACCCTGGCAGTGAATTTATAAATTGTACATTCTTTCACAACAAGACAGGATGTCAGATTTCCTATGATGATGATTACAGTGCTTACTGGATTTATTTTGTCAATTTCCTGGGGACTTTAGCAGTATTACCAGGAAATATTGTCTCAGCTCTTCTGATGGATCGAATTGGACGTTTAACAATGTTGGGTAGGAACTTTGCTTTGAAATGGGTTTTTTAAAAAATTAAGTATTCTTATTTCCCTCTTATCACTTTAATATTTACAAATAATCAAGCTGGGAGCAGGGGCTGGTATGAGAATGGAGGGTTGTTTTCCCCCCTGCAAGTAAACACAAAGAAAAGTCTAACTAATCTTTTTGACAAGTTCAGTTCTATAGCTATGCATACAGTACAGCATATGTATAATAGTCTCCCGATGTAGTGGTATGTGGGAAAGACCTTGGGAGACTGGGCGAAGGGAATGGTCAGATAAGAGACAGCATAGCCCACAGCAAGATAGTAGGCAGGGCAAGAGGCTCAGAAGAGGCCCTCCCTAGTTTCTCAGGCTGTAAAGGAGACAGGAGGGAGAATTGTACTTTCAGGCTTGCAAGATTCTGTCAATGTAGCTTACAATAAAGTAGAATTAGCTCATCTGGTTGTGACTCTTACCTGGTTTACCCCGTGAGGCTGACATCAATCTTGCAAGTGTGAAAGTTTCTGTATCTTGAGGGAGATAAATTTGTTAACAATGTGAGAGGCTTACTGAAATCTTTCATTCCTTAAACCTCCCTAATCCTATTTTCTCCAAAAATGATAGTCTCTTAACCACACCCCCTATGGAAGGAGAGAGAAAAAAATAAAATACCCCAAAGTGTGGCTCCCATTTAACAAAGCATTTCAGGCTTTTCTGTGATAGAAAGCAAGAAAAAGTCATTCCTCTTATCAAATTCACAGGCTCCTGCTGTTAAATTCCCTTTTTCCCCCAGTTCAAGAGATCATAACAGCTGAAGTTGTGTATTTTATTTTATCATATGGTATGACCTGCAGAAGGCAGGTTATTTTTGTGGAGTGCTGGCCCATGGACAGGAACATTTTTGAATCAAGGTTTTCAAACTGATGATAAGAAAGCATAAGCTGCTTGTAGTGCAAGATCAGAAACCATAACACACAGAAATGCTAGCCAAAAGCAGGTCTTTCAGTCTTTTAGAGAAATCTTGATAGTAGGTAACTTGCTACCATGAATCCAAATCCATTTGAGTTCTTGCAAGGACTTTCAGTCTCCGTAACCCCTTTTAAGCTGTGCTCTTCTCTTCCTGAACAGTGGAGAGCCTTAAGAACATGACTCTTAACCTGTTATTCTATTACATCTGTCAGCGCCCAAATACAGTCAAGTCTTTGATCCTCAAAGGTTCTTAGCTCCTATGTAGCTTTGCTTAAGTTACTACTCATATCGACAACATTATAGTAGTTGTTTTGTAAAGCCTTTGTCAGAAGCAATAGTAACTATTAACATTTGGCTTGCGTGTAGGTGGTTCTATGATTCTTTCTGGCATTAGCTGCTTTTTCCTGTGGTTTGGTACAAGTGGATCCATGATGATAGGCATGCTGTGCCTGTACAACGGCCTCACCATCTCAGCATGGAATTCTCTTGATGTCATTACCGTGGAGCTGTATCCTACAGATAGGAGGTATAGTTTTATATTCTTGCAATGCTTTACCTTCTTTTCAAAACATAAATAACTCAACTGGACAGCATTTCTAACATACGTTCTTAAAAGATGAAAAAGGACAGGAAATAGACTGTTTTTATAATTGTGAACAATAAGCAAAGGGACCTCTACAGATCTGCATTAAGACTGATGTTATTTAACTTCTGTCTGAATTCAAGATTGAACAGGGAAATTACAATCTATGTGTTTCTACTAATCTTGAGCAGTGTCAGAAACAATATATTCAACTATGCTGACAGTCTGTATTAAGCTCAGTATAGTTTTTGTTATGATCACTAGGCATAACAAAGAACAAACTTTTTTTTCGTTTTTGGATTATCAGTGTTTTTTAATTTTAGTTTACTTATAAATCCAAAGCAATTTTATGGCACCATGTTTTTATTATATTTCAGCCCACTACCAAGATTAATGCATAAGCTGTAAAATGAGCTTTCTAGAAGACAGGTTTTTTTTTAAAAAGGAAAGTATTAACATATTAGTAGCCAAGAGTAAGAACACTTAAAACTATCCTTTCAAAAAGCTCCTTGGCTTTTTTATTGAAGAAACATTTTCTGGAAAGTCTAGCATGCTCATCTGTTTCAAAGGAAACTGATTTAAAAAAAAAAATAGCATCTTGAGACGTGATTCTTTATCCAAGACAATAATAACTTTCAATTTTCTGTACCTTCGAAGCACCATTAGCTGTCTTACCACAATCTCTCTTCAGAGAAAAAAAACCATATAAACCAATGCTAGGGAATTTGTGTAAATTACTGTAATAGTGAGAAAGTAAATATATCAATTGAGAATATGGGCAATGTAACAAGAAAAACAAATGAGAAAGTTTTCTAACATGATTAGAGACATTACAGAAAACTTTGTGGTAAGGTAGGAATATCACGTGATGAAGAAGTACAGTCCAACCAGCCGGGTGCTTTCAGATGAAAAACTGTGGAAGAGATCATAAATCCACTGGTGTTAGGAAACCAGAGGCTTTCTACAACTGAGGTTAAACTTAGAAAATTAAAGATAATGGGGGGTGCCAGCAAGATCTAATTTGGAGGACATAAAGTAACATCAGTTAAGATGCAGTATACTTAACTTATGCAAGATAGAATATGAACAGTTATAAAAAGAAATTAGAGATTGTGTGAAAAATGAAGCATAAAAACATTTCCTAAAAGTTCATAGAAGAAAAGATCCAAATGGCATTCAGAGCAAGCTACTATAATAGAATGAAGAAATGCTGAGAATGAAAGCTTTGCCATCTGAACAACTGAATGCAGACTTTCAATGCAGAGTAAAAAAGTGACAGGAAAAATACCTTAAACAAGAATAACAGGAAGAGGAAAATGAGAGGTCTTTTAAAATAACACCAAAGAAGTCAGGAAGTGTACAGCTAAAATAGAATTACTTAAGAGTAATCATGGATGACATCTGTTAGACAAATCAGGTTGAAAGAAGGATGGAAAAACTAATGAAATCCTTTACAAGTGGGATTCTGGAATAATCAGGGTCAACTCCATTAGAAAGTGAAGTTTAAGACACACTAAATACATTCAGTCAAATTGAAAAACATTAAGTATGTATGAAATGCCTATTTCACCTGTTGAAAATTGTAAAAAAGAAGCAGTTAAAGTGCTAGCAGTTCTATGTCACAAATATGGAACAACACTTTTACCTCGAGATGGAAAAAAAATACCTATACCAAACAAAGGAAATGTAACCAGATGTGTAGATTATTGAACGATTGAACTAATTCTTCATGTATGTAGTTTTTCTTTAGCAATTACAAAAAAGAATTGATCCATAAATGCCAGAGAAGCAGAAGGATATGAGATTAAATGGCTAACGGAGATGAATAATAGAAAAAGAATATTAGAAGATTTAATTTTGCTTCACTGACAAAGCCTTTAAATGTGGAATGGGGAACATATTAAAGCTAATGGGTATGCCAGAATGCCTGATAATTCTTCTGATCGAATAAAACACTATTGGAAAACAATGAAATGATAGACAATTTTGCTTTGCATTCAAGAATAGATAAAACAAGTGTGCTAGGAAAATAAAAAGGAAATTAATCCAATGGAAGAAGGCAATGAAAACCTTGGGCAAAATCACCAAAGATAGGGATATTTCAGTGACAAAAAAGATCAGAATAGTTAAAGTATTTTCCAGTGATAATATAATGTCATTAACATGCTATGGTTGTTAATTGATAAGGTCCTTGTAATCTTTCTCATATGTCATCTGCATCTGCATCTGCATAACCAACCTGTCTTCTCTATCATCCCCTCCCCACCTTTTCGTCTCACCTTTCCCTCCAGTCAGTCTATGTATCTGATGAAGTGCAGCTCACAAAAGCTTATGCCCTTTAATATAACTTGTTAGTTGGAAAAGGTGATACTAGACTCCTGATTTTTTGCCACCACAGACTAATATGGTTCTCTTCCTGCAGTGATATTAAACTTGGTTTATTAGTTAAGTGCTGTTGAGTTTGGCCTTTGACAACTGCTTGCCATCTTGACCTGTCCCCAACAATAACTCAGTTCTTCAAAGGGCATTCCAGTGATCATTTTAATCTCATTTATCCATCGTATCTATAGCCTTTCCATTTTTCTACACCAACCTTGCCAAGAGTAATAATTTTTCTAGTTTATCTTATGCTCAATCACATACCCAAAGTATACGAAGTTTTGCTTGCTGATCATTGTCTCAAGAGATCAGTCAGCCTCCATTTGATCTAGTACTGACTAGATTCTTAGTAATGTCTCTAAAACCATAATTTGAAAGCCATATAATTCTTTCTCTTTCTCTTTTTAGTGTCTAGTTTTCATAGTCATACATTACTGCTGGAAAGATCATTATTTTAACTATTCTAATATTTTTTGGTCACTGAAATATCCCTATCTTTTGTGATCTTGCCCAAGGTTATGTAAGTGAAATGATTCTCATGATTCTCACTTTCATTTTAAGTGGGCAGAATGATGCTCATATACCCGGACATTTTTACTTCTGTCAAACATTCATTCCTCACAACTGATTATATAGCACCCACTGTATTTCTTCCAGCCTTTGTATGTCTTAATATTTCTCCATCCATTTTCCCATTTTTAGCAAACAATCTACCAGGCTACACAAATTCATCTATTTTTTGCCATTTATGTATAACTTGGAATTGTTCACTCTGTATTCTCTGTCAACCACACCTGCCCTGATCTTTGATAAATTAATTTTCAGTCCTGTGTTCCTTGTTCCGTCATATAATCTAAATTTTGCTGCAAATCATTCAGGTTCTGAGTCAAAAAATGGTATTGTCTGGATACAAAAGTACATGCACATTCATATTCCCAACTGACATGCCTCTAATGTCACTACAAGCATTTCTTATACATTTGTCCTTTCAAGCCTATTCACTTTATCAGATGCTTTCTCTAGAGTAATATTTATTTGAAATATTAATACATTGGTCAGTGACCAGATGAAGTGCAAAATTCTGGTCTACAAACCCCATGCCCAGCATAACGCCATGTTGAACTTCCAAAATTTTGCTTGGTGTCACCTCTCATACCTTTAGGGATCATGGGATTTTTTTTTCTTTAATTGTTGATTCCATCAGCATTGGGTGCAGCATCTCTTGTATTCTGACTGTGAGAGTCAGTCAGAGAAGTTTAGTTGATATGAGAAGAGGCAGCACAACCCCGATGTGGGATCTCTGGGAAGGAAACATTTCAAAGAGACTCTGCCTTAATTGGTTTGCTATAAGTCTGCCTGGGAATTTACTCTTTCAGTTTTTAATATGTTTTTACCCGACGCTTTTTGAAATCGATATGGTTCTTGCTTCTAGGGATTGCCGGCTATGTGAAGCTTGACACTGACTGATGCGCTTTTCTAATTTAAAGATAGTTTTATCTGAAATTGTTTTACTCTTTTTTTCTGTATACTAGTCTGGCCTCCTCAAAAGGAAGAGCAATATACAAATAAATAATTAAAGCGAATAAATGTTTGCCTACCACTTCCAGTTTAGTCCAAGAGAATGGGGAAACTTGGGATCCTATGGATCCATAATCTTTTCCAGCACACCCCTTTTTCATCCAGTGTTGAAGGATTACAGAAGAAATGTACCAGGTTAGACGTCCAACTGAAAAATTATGTGGCTCTGGGTGCTCCTTCAGGATTTACTGAATTGCAGCCTAAACAATTTCATTTTAAGGAATCCTTTCTGCTGTCAGCTATTTATGAACTATTGCACATCTTATTTAATTTTATCATAAAATATATGATTTAATACAATTCTGCAGACATTGGGACAGCAGATTTTTACTGCCACCGTGTGGAATGAATATCACAGTGCTCAGTTAAGTTAGCCCATCCTGTCTTCCCCCAGCTAGGTATTGCTGTTCTCATTGTTGTCTTTTTCTTTGGGTATGGTGGTGGGTTGAGGTGTTTGTTAAATCAACTCCTGAAAAATGTTATCCTGACATGAGACACAGTCTAGAAGAGCATCCCAGAGACATTCCTGATGGTGTTATTTCTCATGAGTTATGAAGTTTTGTCAGACTAGTTAATTATGTATTGAAAGCTTAATCTCCTTCACTACATCTCACCTCTTCTTCTATTTTCTTGGGAGGCTCATAAAACTGTAGCTTTGAAACTGCCTGATTTTCTTATTTTCCATGTTCATGGCTACAGACTAGAAGTACTAGTCACACCACAACTCACTGTAATTTTTGCTTTCCTTTTTGTGATGAATGATGATTACATTCTTTTTCTGCCTAGATAGGCAGACTATGTAATTTAATCCTGTTTAGCTGCCCACTGCTTCCCCTAATCTTTCTTAGCTGTCTTACTATGTAGGCTACTGCATTACATTTTGCTTCAGATATGATCTCAGGAAAGTTTGATATGTAATATAATCTTGATTATTTCAACCTCTCTTCAAAGTTGCACTCTGCAATAGCCTATATCAGATAAACTCAGCAGGTGCAGCCTTTCTTCATGCTATAAAATACAACTAAAAAATGTAGAATAACTATCTTTTCTCTAATGACACTTTTCAGAGAAGTTATTTATGAAGATTAGATTATTGGCCAACGTAAACCCAACCCAAAATAAAGATTAGCCGATTCTCCCAATGGTACACTCAATGGATGGATATCTGTGTGTGATATCATCGTGGTTTCTACCAAATACCTGTGACCCAATGACTAGTTTTCCAAATTTGTGCCAAGCCATGATATAGTTTGACTTTGTGTTTTGTGTGAACCAAACCACATACACTATAATTAAATAAACCCATTGCTTTTTTTTCCCCCAAGTTTCTCAGTCAGCTTCCAAAACTTCTAAGTTGCTACCAACTATCAAAATCTGCCTTTCAAGTATAAACAAAGATGCCCTCAAGTAAAGCTCAATTCCTAGTGATTGCATCCATGCAGTTTTATTGGTACCATTAGGGAAAGGGGCTGCTATTGTATTTCTTCAGGATGTTCCCCAGCTTTCCTGTTTCACTTACAGCCCTGCAATTCCCAGGTGGTTCCCCATCCAAGAATTTACCAGGGCTTACCCTAGTTAGCTTAAGAGATCAGCCACATAAACTATAGTTAAATCATGATGTAACATGAGTGAACCCAATAACTGAATATTTATTTAGAGTGGATGCTACCTACAGTTGAGGCTATTCAACTGTAGAGGTTTCCAAAACTTTTACCAGAGATTTTGAACCATATTCATTTGGTCACTGTATGGGCTGGCACTGTGTTCAACAGCATGAAATTGATCACTAAATTCACAGAAACTGTTAAGAATAACTAAGGAGTTTCTTATGCTTGAAATCTTAAATCTTGATCTATTCCTACTATCTTTATTAAGAATTCTTCATGGGAGATTACCATGGAATACCAGGGCCCTACATTACAAGCAGTCCTCAAGTTACAACCATTCAGCAACTGGTCAAAGTTACGATGGTGCTGAACGAAGTGACTTACAACCAGTCCCTGAAGTTATGGCCTCCGCAGTCATGTAATTACCATTTGCACCCTTCCCTGCTGGCTTCCCCCAAGCAAAGTCAATGGGAAGCCGGCAAGGAAGGTTGCAAGTCACTGAGGTAAGTCTCCCCACTGCTGCCTTTCTTTGCTCGCACACACCACGCCCTCTTTTCCCAGCCTCTCTGTGCTTGCACACATGCATGCATGCACCCTGCACCTACTTCCCACGGCCTACCTGCAATTGTAGACATACACACACATACCCTGCGCCCTCTTTCCTTGGCCTCCCTGCAGTCACACACATGCACACATGTATCCTGCTCCCTCTTTACATGGCTTCTCTGCGATCGGATACACCTACACACATACCCTGTGCCCTCTTTCCATGGCCTATGTGCACTCACACACATGCACCCCGTACCCTCTTTCCCTGGCCTTTCTGACCTTGCGCCGCACCAAACAACCCTTCCCCAACTTGTGCGCAGCCTGTGCCAGGCCTCTTGCACACCCCTGCAGCAGCCCCATGCTCCTGATCTGGGACTCCCTCTGCTTCCCACTTAACAACCTGCGCATCTTGGGTTACGACAACAACCAGGACTGCCTGGATTGCTGTCACTCAGCAATGCAGTCATGTGATGTCATGCTTTACGATTGCATTGCTTAGCAACAGCAGTCCCCGTCCCAATTGCACTCATAACTTGAGGACTACCTGTAGATTGGGAATTTGTAAAAATCCCAAAAGATACCATTGTCAAGAAAATTGTTACATACTCAACCCAAAGGAGACTTTATCTTTTTATAATTATGAAATCAAATAAAGAAATAAACTCTTATTTTTGCAGAAAATGCAGATATTTCACTTCTTAAAATTTACACTAAGCTAGCAAAATGTCAAAAGAAATTATTTAAATAGTTTGCATGGGTACACCATATTAAAGCGAGGAGAAGCATTTTCCCACAGGCATGCAAATAATCAAACGACTTCTTCTAAATATGTCATCTGTTCTTGTCAACATGTATTTAAGTGCCAGCTGCAGTCTCTCCCCCACTCCTTGCAATTACCTCAAGCTATTGAAGCACAGGCCTTCTTCTTTTTAAATTTGCCTTACCCTCTTATGCCCTGTACTTGTGTTTGGCAATTAAGCACATAGACATTCTTGTGGACCTCTATAAAACAATGCTGCTGTTTTGTTTTGTGGTTTAAAAAGCACATATTTGTTTCTGTTTCCCAAGGGTCTATATATTATCCCATCATCTCAAACTGGTTTTTCAGAGTATGAAATAATATAGAAACTTCTGAACAGACAGAACTGATTTGGACGCAGTCTCATAAGCATCTTTGCCTTATTAGTTGGTTCTCCTGAAGGCAGTTTCTGTTTCTTGTAAGATTATTTATCTGATCATGTGTAAAACACATAGCCCTGAGGCAGCTGAAATTTATAGACCTTTGCAAGCAATTTGTTCAAAACTCTGGCAAAAGTAATTTATCTCAGTCTGGGTAGCCTACTGGGCAGAGAGGACAAACAAGCAGGAGCGAAAGACAAAAAGGAGAAGCCAGAAAAAGGAATTGTGCTTGATATGGAATTAAGGGAATAAAAAGTATAATTTCAAGAATAACCTGGTTTAAAACATACAACCTTTCACAGCCACCTTAAATTTTACATTGGTTTTGAGAGGAGGTGATCAAACATAAGGGAGTCTTACCTTTGTGCCAAGATTAGCAATTCTTTAAATCTGTATCATTTGATTACTCTCTGTGTGCATTATGATGATAATTATTTAACCATAATTGTTTTCATAATAGAATTAACTTTCTGTACTATAAATCTATCATATAAAACTGAGGGAGAAATGTTATTCTAAATATTTAGAATATTCAGAAGGACTTCCCTGTATTTCTATAGTGATGCACTCCGACCTTCTATGCTGCTTCATCCTTTAGCCATTTCTGGATGGAAAATGAGTTAAAGTTGCATCTATAGATTGCATATGCTATTATATAGGCTGCAGCTCTTTGATTGATACTATCTATTGTTCCTGGTGTGTGTAGATATCACAGATTTGCTACAGCTTGCAAAGAACTTTCTGCATGAGAATTATTTCTGTTGTGAAATTGTAATGTACCCAATGTCCTTCCATTTTTGCGAGAAAGAACTAAGGGACCTTTCAGATCAGCCTTTTCAACCTTGTGTGCCCTCAGATGTATAGCTGTGCTGGCTGAGGAACTCTGAAAATTGACATTCATATATCCAGAGGGCAAACAGGTTGAAGAAAACTGATTCAGATTTAGACAGATGCATTAGGTTCATGTATTAACATCCCTGGTATGATATATGCAAATGATTAAATAATGTTATGCTTACTGTGTTGAGTTTTTAACTTTGGAAACAGAGTTGTTTGTTACAGTCACCTTAACCTGAGAATTGCTGATTGCTAACTAGTCAGGCCTCATTCATACTTTACCTTGAAAGGCCATTCCTTGGAGCTTAATTGCATGTCAATAATAGGAAATTATGTTCTTTCCACTTCTACTCCAGAGAGTAACTATTGAAATGAGCTTTATTAGTCAAATGCAGCTTTATGTATCACTGAATAATACTTTCTCCAATGCCAGCAGTGGTCAGACATCAGAATTCAAAGAGTTTCCAATAGTGACACCCCATTGGTAGAATTAATTCCTCATAGAAGTCTGCCAGGCATCAACAGGGCTTTCTTTGTGATACCAGCAAGATATGCTGTTCTTCTCAGTCTCTCTCTTCTTTCTTCTCTTTTAATAAGTTTTTTACAATTCATCACACTTAATCTTTTCGTAAACATCTGAAGAATGGCATATGGGTCTTTAAATTGATAAAACAAAAAATTACTGAGAATTTTTTTTTCCAGAAGTAAACAGATTCTTAGTAATATGTGAATTGAGATGTTTAGTTAGATGTATAGGATTTGCTGTTTCAGAATTGTTTATTTGGACTATTCTCACTGCTGAGACAGAGCATGTTAAGGGCAGGAGGCTGAGTGATTGCTATCTTGGATTGTCAATGTATTATTCTGGAAGGTCATGATCTGTGATTTGCCTTCCTGCTCAGTAATTCACCACACTGTTTTATCTCCTGTCTATCTTTTGAAGAAAAAAACATATTTTTTTCTACAGATAAAAAGCATTTTTTAAAATCAAGGTCAAAGTCAGAAGACATATTCCACAAATTGTGTCTGTGTGTGTGTGTGTCTGTGTGTGTGTGTGTTTAGTCCTGGAAGGTTAGAAATTGTTTAAAGTGGCATCGGCTTTTCGTGTGTGTGTGTGTGTGTGTGTAATTTATTTCTGTATATTAATTCTAATTTCTTTTTCTCTCTTTCAGGGCAACGGGCTTTGGCTTTTTAAATGCACTGTGCAAAGCAGCAGCTGTTCTTGGAAACCTAATATTTGGTTCTTTTGTTGTCATTACCAAATCAGTTCCTATTCTGCTAGCTTCTACAGTTTTAGTGTGTGGAGGTTTGGTAGGACTTCGACTCCCTGACACCAGAACCCAAGTACTGATGTAAATTGAGATGGGTGGTGGATAAAAAAGCCATTTATTATTTCTTTTCCTCTGTTTCTAAATGTCAGATTTCTTGGCTGGATGTGGGGAGGCTTCAGATTTTTGATTCAAGGAAAGTAATGGCATAGAGAGGTTCTACCCTCAAAATGAAACTACTGCAACAGAAAATTAAGAGACACACAGGAAATAAGAGTGATTTCACTCCACTTCAGTAGAGCCATTTGCCCCAGCATTGTGCACCCCATCAGCCCAGCCCTCTAAGTTCACACCTGTGAAATTCCAGCGAGTGGAGCCTACATGTGTTGTTCCCCCACACACACACTTTTTTTGCAGGTAAAAACTGAAAGAGCCTGTATGCATGTAGATACCCACATTGCATTTTTGAGAAAGAGAGAAATGAAAATTATGGGCTGGAACTGGTGGAACCTATGCTATTGGGGACAGAGCAAATGGCCATTGCCAACCTATCCCTCAGTTCATTTAGTGAGTGCATAGGTATGTTTCTGACGACAGTTGCTGTTAAAACAAAAACCAGTATAATCCCTTTTATTTCACACTGAAAGAGCAGTTGAGTAACAGATGAAGCTGACATAATTTCAGTGGCTTCTATGAATTTCCCGCCTCAAAATTAAGATTTCCAATTAAATTAAGGAAAAGAATAAAGAAAACAGCTATTTCATAGAAGCCTATATTTTTCCATAGAGGTCATCTCTGTGTAGGAAAATGAGTTTCCAAGCCATTTCTGAAATGCAATTGTTTGGTTGATGAGAATAGGGTTGTAAGACAGATATTACATCTAAGACAGCCTGTAATCATTTATGAACTTAAGCAAATTACGAAAGTAGCACATCCTTCTAATGTATTTCTTTGTCTGGAAACCACAAAAATTAGTACTATACTTTAAAAATTAGGTTAGTATAAATAAACATCTAGCCCTTTCTTAGGAATAAATATTAATCTAACAAAACTGTCTCTAGAACTCATGCTTCTAGCCAAATTTGTATATGAAAATGGACAGTTTAGGGAAGGTTGATCTAACACATATTATGAAATAAATCAGATTAAACTACATGATGATATTTGAGCACCAATTTTCTATGTTCTTATGGGGACCCCCCCCCCAAAAAAAGTGGCATTGCTTCTTTTCTAAACCACCATCACAGAAATAAAAACAATTTTTATGCAGATTTAGGCAGGGGAAAAGATAGCCTGCTATAGCTGAATCTGTTTGCTTTAAGATGAAAATAATTGTATTGTCGAAGGCTTTCATGGCCAGCATACGA